TTTTTTTTTTGTTTGCATTTTCTTCTTTTAAAATTTTTTTTGTTTCTAAGCTTCACAAAATATTCAGTAACACTAAATAAACTTTTCTTCTTCAAATAAAATAAACATAAAATCTTCTCTCTCTAACTCGGCCTTTTAACTTAAAGGTCGAGCCGCTTCGGCTTTTGCACAGTCCTTTGAGATCTCCGAAGTGGCGGCGGGCTGCATTGCTGGCTGGGCTGCACTTCGGGATGCTCGTCTGTAGTGTGCGTAGCTGGAGACTTAGGTAGGCCTACACTCCGTTGTTGTCTTGGTGATGTATTCCGAGTTTCCATGACACGAGGTGATCGCTCTGGCGGAGTTTGTATTCCCACAGCAGACTTGTTCTCAGGGGATTTGATCGGAGACTGCACTACCGGCCTATTGACTGTAACTTCCTCTTCCTCAGTCAACTTACTAGATCTCAAATGATCAGCGTGGCAGAAACGTATTTTACCTCCCAGGACGCTCACCACATAAGTAGACGGACTTTTCCGCTCCAAAATTCTCCCAGGAATCCAAGAAATGATCTCCTGCCGTACTGACTTCACAAGCACCCTTTCTCCCTCCACAAAGGATCTGAAACTTCCCCGATGGTTATCGGCTGCTTCCTTCTGCGCCTCCCTCTTCTTATCAATGGCTGACAATAAACAGGGTTTAAGCATTGTCAACTTAGTTCTCGGTTTCCATTGAAGGAACAATTCCGCAGGGGTAACACCAGTGACAGTACTGGGTGTGTTGGGAAATGCAAAGAGGAAATTATCCAATTTATGTTGTAAAGAAATGGTCTCAGAACCACTAGCCATAACCTGTCTTTTAAGGTTCTTCTTGACTTCCTGTACAAATCTTTCTGCAGCCCCATTCGAGGCAGGATGGTAAGGAGGTGAGAGCGTAAACTTAATACCGTTGTTGCTCAGAAATTCTCTGAATTCCCCACTAGCAAAATTGGGACCATTATCACTGACCAATTCTTTCGGTAGGCCAAAAGACGCAAACAGCGTACGCAGTTTTTCAATGGTTTTGAACGATGTAGTAGATTTCATGATAAACACTTCTAGCCATTTGCTAAAACTATCAACAACTATGAGCATTTGTTGTCTTGTTAGTGGGTCTTCCGCATAATCCACGTGGATGCGCTGCCACCTACTTGAAGCTCTAGGCCACTGACATAATGGCACCTTAGCCACAGCATTCCTTGTACACTGACACACATGACATGAGAGAACAGTCTCTTCAATGGTTTTATCAATCCCCGGCCACCAAACAAAGCTTCGGGCTAACATTTTCATCCTATTTATTCCGGGATGCTGATCATGCAACAATTGGATAACGGCACTCCTCAGTTTCTCTGGCACCACTACTCGACTACCCCATAAAACACACTGGTTCTCCACGGACAACTCATCCCTTCTTCGAAAATAAGCAACCAGCTCAGAATCTTGACTATCACGCCATCCATGCCAAATGAAATCTCTGACCTTTGTCAAAACAGGATCAGTATCAGTAAGTCGAGCGATATCCTTAGCAGTAATAGGATTGAGACCACTCACCAATTTGAAACAGTCAAAGGCCTCTACCAGGGAAGAAACACGAGAGATGTAGTTGGAATCCAGCTCCAATTGGTCGTCATCAGGTAACGGTAATCTCGAAAGAGCGTCCGCATGTGGCAAGTCCAAGCCACGGCGGTACTTTACTTCAAAACTGTAGGCGGAGAGGATCAGGGCCCATCGTTGAAGACGCGCAGCGGCGACACAGGGAACTCCCCGCTTATTTCCAAAGATTGTCACTAAAGGAACATGGTCAGTCTGTAACACGAAATTTTTCCTACCGTAAATATATTTATGGAATTTTTTTACTCCAAAAACAAGAGCCAAAGCTTCTCTATGTAACTGTGAATAATTTCTTTCACTAGCACTCAAGGATTTCGATGCAAGGGCAATAGGCCTCTCTACTCCATCAATAAGGTGCGAAAGCACGGCACCAACACCTCGTGGACTTGCGTCACAAGTCAAAACTAATGGTCTATTTACATCGTAATGAACTAAGACATCTGAAGACAATACCCATGTCTTACTTTCTTGAAAAACAGAAGAACATTGGGATGACCATACCCACGGTGCATCCTTACGAAGTAGATCGTAAAAACAGCTAAGTTTGTCTGAAAGATTGCAAATAAACTTCCCATAATAATTTATAAGGCCTACATAGGCTCTTAACTCTTCCTTTTAAGTTGGCTCGGGTGCATTCCGAATCGCCTCCAAAATACCCTCCTGCGGGCTGATCCCTTTGGACGACAAACAGTAGCCTAGGTACTGTACTGACGGCTGTAAGAATTTACATTTAGAATCATTTACCTTGACTCCATATTCCATAACTTTGAAGACGTTGAAGAACACTCTCTAAGCGTGACAACGCTTCCTCTTGCGAAGATCCACCCACCAGTACGTCATCCAAATATGCCACTGACCCAGGTAGGCCACCAATAATTTTGTCCATGGCCGCTTGGAAGAGAGCCGGAGCCGAAGACAAACCATACGGCAGACGTCGCAAACGCACTAAGCCTTTGTGCGTAGTTAGAGTCAAGAGTGGTTGGGACTCCTCCGCCACAGGAAGTTGGAGATACGGTGCCTCCAAGTCCAAAACTGAAAACCAGCTACAACCTGCTAGAGTAGCAAAAATGTCCTCCGGTTGAGGCAAGGGATAGTGTTCCGACTGGATCACTTGATTAAGGGTTACTTTAAAGTCCCCGCAGAGTCGCACCCCACTTTTCTTCTGAATCACCACAATAGGAGTAGCCCAATGAGAGCTGGTAACGGGATAAGCAATACCTTCAGCAATCATCCTATCAATCTCATCTTCTACTGATTTACGCAACGCGTAAGGAACAGGGCGATATTTACAAAATTTTGGCACAGCATCCTCTTTTAACACAATACGTGCCTCAACATCCTTAATTTCACCAGGACCTCCTTTGAACACAGAGGCATACTTAAGTTTCAAACCAGAAACGACTTTAGGCTCAACGGCCTTACCTAGGGTTAGGTTAGGTTCACCACCCTTAGATTTAACACTGCCTGATAGGCTATTAAAATTACAAGTAAAAATAGATTTCCAGTCAAAAGCAATATGTTGTAGCCAACTACGGCCTAGAAGCATAGGCTGATTCGTACGATCAATCTTAACGACTATCATAGGTAACTGATAAGTCTGGTCCATGTAGGTTACTTTGACTAAAGCTTGTTCAATAACATTGACTTCATTGCCTGAATATGTAAGCAACTTGATATCTACAGTACTCAATTGTACATGAGGGAAATATTTGTTAAACAATTCTTGAGGGCACACAGTTAGTGCCGAGCTAGTATCAATTTCCATTAATACGGATACATTCTCTATTTCTAGGCTTACCTTAAAGGCAGAAACATTATCACCAGAATTCATACTGTACAAAGACAAACTTTCAAACTCCACTTCATCTGAACCATCACTAGGCCTAGGCCTATTTTCCTCTTCCATCTGATGGATTTTAAATTTACCACTTTTTATGGAATTTTTCACTGGATTTTCTGATTTGAACCTGCAAACCTTACTGATGTGACCCAACTTTTTACACCCATGGCACTTGCAATTACTATACGGGCAATTATTAGCCCTATGCTCTGGATTGCCACAACGAAAACACTTATTTATCTGAGACATATCTCCCTTCACATCACTTGAATTTGATTTAGATCCCGCACTGTGAAAATTTGAACCTCGGTTGGAAACACGTGCATTCTTCTTGACCTGAAACCTGGAAATTTCCTGAACACTTGTATTCGAGAATAGACCTGTTTGTTTCTCGGCCTGTTCAAGCCTGAGTGCAAGAGCCAACGTTTTCTTCAAATCCATTTCTTCGGAAAGTAATTTTTGACGAATTGCTTCATTTTTAATTCCCGAGACTAACTTGTCTCTCAGTGCATCCGATAAGAATGTTCCAAATTCACACGTCGAAGCCAAATGCTTCACTGCCACTACGAACTCGGCAATACTTTCAGATTGTTTCTGGCATCGACTATAAAAAGTATAACGCTCAGCGACCACAAGGCGTTTAGGAGAATAATGATCTTCCAAGATTTTGCTCAAATTATCGTAAGATTCTTCATCAATCTTCTTAGGAGAAATAAGATCGGTGAGGACGGCTAATATTTTAGGGCCTATTACAGTAATCAAGATGGAGACCTGCTTCACGTCCTTGACCTCGTTGGCCTTGAAAAAGTGTTTCAAACGTAACAAATACGAACTAATATCTTCTTCGTACGGATTAAACTCCGATATCCGACCGATACTAGACATTTCACGCACACGCAGATTTAATTTCGTCGCCAAATGTAATAACTGTACTAATACTTAGTAAGATTAAAAGGGAACCCGATACTAGGGACAACTTACTACATAGCATGTTAACTCTGACTGCCGTTCCACTCCGCTTCGTGCCATCGTTCCTAGTCGGTGACGTCACTCAGCAGTGCAGCCAACCACACACACGAACTCAATAATCTTCTGGCAATGTAATATAGCCTTATATATTACAATTTCCAAAGTAACTGATGACAGCCACTTAGCAATGATATTGTTGTAAGTATGGGGTTGATAGATGTACTTTCGGTTTCCTCAAAAGCTTGTGATCCTTCTTAGCTTTAGAGACTAACTGCTGAACAAAATCTGTATAAATTTAGTAGAGCTTTGGTTCCAGCAAAATGGTTCAACATTCTATACAGCACAGCATTCTACACAATTTAGTCTTTTGTTTTGATAGAAATGTTTAATAAACACATTATCTAGTAAAGAGGTAATGTTAACAACTTGTTGATTTCACACTGACAGGATATATTCTGTGTGGATATAAGTCGTTAAGTCACGTTTTCTTATTTCATTCTGAAAATTTCAGCACTTTAACACCCTATACTATGCAATGTTTGTTTTTTATAATGTAACAGCAGGAGTCAGAGATGAATGGAGTGCCATCACTGACACTTCCTTCCATCAGTGAAGATGATGAGAATGTACCCGATGAGGGGGAAACTTCCCCTCTCTCCCCTCCCACCCGCTCTCCCATGCATGCTGTCACTGTCAGCCCAAGACATGCCAAGTTCAACTCAAGGTAAGAAACTAAGTAATATAATAGTGCAACTGTGCATGCATCCAATATCTGTCAGTTGCCAATGAGACTTGAAGTACCGTAGTCAAGTTTGTAGATGAAGTATAAATAATGATAACAAATTTTCACATTTTGTATTTTTTTACATGTTGATTACTGTAGACACACCATAGGCAGTAGTTGAAGCTATTTCTGTATAAAAACACTAACTAACTACAACATTTTTCAGGCTTGAAAGACGACTCATGGAAAAAGAAATGGGTCGTAACAATGTTGATCGGCTGGATACCCAAGTGAACTTCTTACACCAACATGTTGCCAACCTCAGTCAAGAGGTGTGTAAAATTTTTAGTCTACTTATGTTTAATCTTAATGATAATATCTAACAGTAAGTCAACTTGTAAACGTACAGTTTTTTTTTTGCCTCAACTCTTTACACAAGGGGCAAGTACAGCTGTTTTCCTAGCTGCAAAATTTGTTGGGGACTATAACATGAAGCAAGCAATAAAACAACATTCGAGAACTATTGTGCTGCCATCCAAGGGAGCTAGGAAAGCCTGCTTTAGGTCTTCTTAGGCAATCTTATGAATTTACTATGCCCATTATGCTTTATTTTTGAGTATGCTAAAGTGCTAAAGTTTACAATCCCATTTACATTTGACGAGGGTTGTCTGCAGGTCAAGGTCCTCACCGATCTCCCGTTGCGACAAAACAAGATACTTGATCACTTGTTGTTTGATCACTTGGCGGGTCCATTTTCCTTCACATAGTTTTTAGCTACTATAATGAGACTAATCTTCACAAAAGAGGAGATAAAACTAGAATCATATTGGATGAAGTAAAGAACACGGTGCTGGTCTCAGATTTCAACTTGCTTATCAATTAATTGGGACTGGAGATCAGTGGAGACCTTAATTTTACAGACAACGCTAGTAAAATAGCAGTAGTAGCAAAACATTTCAAGTCTACCATATAATTGCCTGTAATCCTACACAACACAAGAAGATCCTTGGAATGTCTTGGGGATATCCCAGTATATGATAACACTTTCAAAAAAAAAAAAAAAAAAAAAAAAAAAAGTCAGGATATGGAGGATATCCTCTGTAAATTCCTCAAAGTCCTTGGAATTTCCATATCCGCCCAAATCCTGATCCCTGGTTCTACTTAAATAAGTTGCTTCGACATTCCCTAGTTCCCGAAATTGTCTTTCTTTCAACACAAAAACCAAGAAAATCCGTCAAGTGTTTGATTCAGAATTGTGAAATAAAAAAAACCCTATCACATTTTAATATATATGATGATTATAAGCAGTGTATTATTATTATAAAAAGCAATAAATTTTAGTTGGATAGTTATTCTGCAGGGGTCTGCCCCACGGGGAATTCCTACAGATCTCCAAAGGATGTCCACCCATATGGATATGATCGGAAAACTTGATTAATTTTTATAAATTATTAGTAATGTTATTGGTTATTGTTAATTCAGAATAAGATTGAAATCTTTTTTAATTACGTTTCTCAAGCACCACTTGAAAAAATACATCTAATATTATAAAATATGTTTTAATGTAGCCTACCGAGAATATCCATAGGAAGTCCCAAAAATGCATTTGTTTGTGTGGGATATGTGCAATATCCTAGAGTGATCCTAGGGACATTCTCAAATCCAGGGTTCTCTGTGGGATATGTGGGAACTGGTCAGGATATCCTGGGAATATCCCGTGCTGTGTGGGATATTAATCTTATTTCAATGTTTAATATGTACCGGTAGGTACTCATTCTTGTAAACTATGCTCCAAAATTGTATATTATTAGTGTAAATCATACAGAAATATTTGTCAGAAAATTCCATAAGGCTGCAAAATTACATAAATGCATCCATCTTTCAGTACAGACGAATGTTGAATGCTCTCTGTTGTAGTACGGTCTGATCATCATGTTAGCCAGTACATATTTTGTTTTGTGTTAATTAGATTATTAAAATAATTTTTACCTGTTGATACCTTTTCAATGTTAACAATAAACCAATTGATGTACCATTTTTGCTGTACGTTTGTACACAGAATCTTTTACTTTATTGTCTGTGTAGGTGCGCAATGCCATCAATGCCCTGCAAGAGCTGGCCACTACCACTAACACAGTGGCTGCCAACAACCGCTACCCCTTCCCCCTTCCTGCGCACTCGAACCCCAACCTGCAGAGGGTCAAGGGCAGTGAGGTAAACATAGCATAGGGTTAGAGCAATTCATTGCCGAATATAATCTATATATGATGGTTGAAGGAAAGATCAATTAAACCTTTTTCAAGTGATTTTTCACAGATTGTTACGAATACAGTATTATGCACTTCTGGGGAACGGAGAACAGTCAATGTGGTTCTGAGCTGTTTTAGTACCAACAAATATTTGTGGTTCGCCAGAAAAGGTATTTTTGACCAAAATTCTGAAATTAAATGGGTCCTTATAAAATTTTTTGTTTGATTACTTCCTGGAAAACTTGGGTTCAAAATCCAGATATAGCTTATTGGACGTTGCAGGTAATAAGTATAATAAATAAAACTAGAGGACCCAATCTGCTCCGCAGAGTTAAAATAAATAGCAGTTACCCATGGGCTTCACCCCGCTTGACTTTATAAGTATTAATAAAACTATTGATTGGTTAAGTTAAGCTGAAATAAACAAAACAGTAATACAAAAAAATAATTACACCTGATTTTAAAAGGTGTGATGACGTGGAGTAGTATGAGTGTAAATGAAGATACCTGGGCCCTATATATCTTCCTCTAACCACTACCAAATCACGCACATTTCCTGTCGTTACCCAACTCTATTGCATGGAAACTATCTAACTCGTCAAAGTGCACAATATTACCTTAGCTGCCTATCACAGCCAGCTTTTATGTTCTTTAATATATCTAATTATAATATAGTGAACAGAGAAATATATATATCTGGACTTATTCTAATTCGTGAAAGAAAGTAACTAGATTTACCAAATGTGAATTCTAAATTTGTGAAATTGATTGCCAGACCACGACCATTCGATAACCTAATAAATTACATAATTAAATTAAAATAAGTTTGCCCTGGCCTACACCCTTCCCCAACCCCTATATCTATTAGCTAGACATCTTATGCTACAACTACTTATCCGGTCAAGTTGTACAGCTGCAGGCGGTCGACACACTACACTGTTCTACTCTCATCGCGCGTGCTTGCCGGGCCGACTGCGCGCGCAACCGTGTCACGTGACTTGCGCTACCTATTGTCTTGTAGCGAGTCGCTACAAAGGTAATAAATTGAAAGAATAACAAACAAATAAGTACAGCAGAGGCAATTTTAACATTAGGTATATGGAAAATTCCCTTTAGAAAGGAATTACGACCCTAAAGGGCAATTTATTTAATAATAGATAGTTTTGTGCGAGGTTTCTCGTCGTGACGAACATTTTAAGTATATGGTTTATGGGGGTGTGACTTATAGTTTTCTCAAAAAGTTCATGGGTACTTTTGGCTTTATATATAGATAAGTGATATGCTATTCCTAAGTGAAGAAAAAATAGCTGAACACGTAGCTTACAACTTACAAATAACCAATTCATTCCATTAATTAATAATGCCTATAGCGTAGAACTCCCCCCCCCCCCCATTTACAAAAACTCAATTCAAAACCGAACCACTTAAGATTTTAGGAGTCACACTACACCCAATTGTTATTTTGGGTACTCATCTTAGATCACCTTAATGATTGACAGGGACACTAGTCAGGTTGCCCATCTAAACTGAAAATCAAGAATCAAGATGTAAATTCTTGATTTATTTGGTGTCTCTAGGACTGAAAGACATCAACTTATACACTTCAAACGTACTAAAATAAATGTTGGCAAACCTAAGCGTTAACGTATCATTAGTTCTAGACTCATCCTCTAGGTTCTAGGCATAGTGCTAAGCAACTGTTATGAACTTCTGCTAGCCTATGTAATTTGTATAACAAGAAGCTAACATCAATCAACCCTTTTAACTCCAATATCTTATAAACATCCTTCAGGGTGTGTTTTGTTTCTGTTCATATCAGACATTAGAGTTGAAAGATTGATTTGATGAAAACTTATTAAATTAAATTAACCGCAATCAGCACGGGGTTTTCTATTCTGTACCTATAAGAAAGTGTTGTGATCATATATCCCCTCTCTATCATGCTATCATTTATAGGTGACACTGCCTCGCAGTTCATCTCACCCACCTGACATGTTCTGCTGGGAGGATGAGACTGACCGATCGGAGAATTTCGCCGACGCGGAGACTCAAACTGACATTCCGTTAGAGTATATCAAACAGTTTGTGCTTGAGAACCGAAGTACAGTTATATCCTGGCTTGAACCTTTGCCGGAAATGAGGGTTTGTTTGTTTGGGAACGATCAAGAAAAGGATGAAAACCAGTTATGTAAAGCTCCAAATTGGTTAACAGAACCACTTCCACCACCTGCGAGTTGGAACACGCAGCATCATCGTTTCAGTGCTGGTGATGTCATCGAGAGATCTACTGAAATGGTCTACCATCCCCTGCCTTCCTCACGCTCCTTGAAATTTCATCCTTATAGCTGAATACACCATGTGATTCACGTCATATCTATCCAGTATTAGCCTGTACTTTTGAAGTTGACACTTTTATAAGACTCAATTACACATAAATATTTTCATATCATTCCTATTCCTCGATATAATATTTGTAATCAATGTTAGTTAAGTTTTTTGATATACTGTAAATATGTACATATTCTCTTGTTAGTTTTTATGTTTGTTGAACATGTTAATATGTTTTAGTAGAAATTTGTGGTAAAAACCTACTTTAAAAATACAGTATTATTAATACCATGACTGTGGAGTTTAAGGAATAAAACCACATGAAAACAAAAATAAAAAATAGGTAATTATTTCCTACTAAGTTTTTATCAAATTGATTCTGATAAAAAGATTATAATAATTTGTAAGTAGGCCCAAAGTACCTGTATGGTAGTTAAAACAACATAAAAATTTAGTTGATAAATCTTTATATCGTTTCATATGAAGCCCATAGCTTTGAAAGCAATAATGAAACTGTAAGTTTAGAACAGAAAACAGAGAGTTATAATGTCATAGTTATGCCAAATTATTTTAGATTGAAAAAGTTCAAGAGGCCGAGTGGTTACTCCTTCTAGCTTATTGTTCTGACTGTATTGAGGAGCTTTTACTCACTATTATTTTCACTTTATATTTTAAAAGTCTTAAAAATACATTATTGAAAAATATTTTAGGAGCAGGAACCTTTGTTTTTATGTCAGATTAGTGGTAATGTAGATTAGTTAAGGTACATTCCTTATTTGTGAAAGCTTTTTGTATAGTTTATAAAAGTATTTTGTCAATGATTTTTTTGTTACCTTCAATAGTTTTCAATGGATAATTTACATTTTCCAATGCTATGAAACTAATGAAAGCTTAAACATTAAATCTCTTTGATTGTGATATACAATTATGAAATCTCTATTCCCCAGGCTTAACAACCTTAATATTTCAATGTGCCATTTTGTAAAATTGTAATATACTCATACTTAGCTGTTGTGTCTAAAGAATCACGTAGTTTCGGCCTAGAATTGTACATCTATTGTATATATTGGTTTTGGTGCTATTCTGCCATCAATGTTTATATTTATCTTCATATGTTCCTAATAACTGCACATTTTTCCCAATTGGTACCGTAAGTATTGTTTGTTGTAATATTCTTGCATATTAAGGTTTCTCAATGAGTATTTTTTTTAACTCTATATTATTGGCTGTGTTATTTATTTACTTTTGGAACTTTTTAACATGTTTTCATTAGACAGGGAAGTGAAAAACCAGCTCACATATGCAGGGGCGTCGCCAGGTTTGGAGCGCCCTGGAGCAGGGATGGCTCAAGCCGCCCCCCAGTACCGGAGGATCTGGGCGGAGGGTTGTCAAAAAAAATAATGTTTGAAAAATAATAACTGTAAACTAGCGTTTTTATGCAATCTAGACATAATAATTGTTAAAACATAAATTGGTATTTTAATTGGGTTTATTATATTTAACCTATTTCATTAGATGTTTGAAAATAAAAACATGAATTCAAAATTAATTCTTAGAAATCTCCTCCAAACAGGATAGCTTTACCAAGTACAAGTAAACAGCGGGAACTAAGCAAAGGACGTGAATTTACAAATGGGGGGTAGATGTCAGTGACGTTTAAGCACTTAGTTAGAAGATAATGACTGTTTGGGCATTATCAAAACAAAAGGCATAATTGAACAGTACAAACATAAATCTTTTCCTACTTTTACAGGATTTTTTACATTGTGTAATAGCTAAATCGGGTTTTGGCGGGCCTAGCAGCTTTAACTGAACTCTCTGTTCAAAACTTACCAAATACCTCCCCCTTCCCTTCACTTTCCTTCTGCCCCTACCACGCTTGACAACAACATAGTAAAAAAAATCCTAGTGCTTGCCGCCCTGGAGCGACTGCTCCACTCGCTCCACTGTCGCTACGCCACTGCACATATGTTTACAAACATTTCATAATCTGAACGGTGAGCACTTTTTCCCAGCCCATGCCAGGGGTATAATAGATGATGGGTTTTTACATCTGTCCCCGGTGCTAGGAATATGCTCAACAAGTTCAGCCTGTCATCTGCTCTGCCTTCTGCCCGCGCATGAGCACAAGCCTCTTTTGCTACTGTGCATATTTTTGTTTGGCTTTTCATTTGTGTATCAGAATGTAAATATAATCATACGTTGTTGTATTAATAGTCAAAGATATAATTCAGAAAAAGATACACCAGAATTATAGAGGACATAGTTAACTCACCTGAAGTCATTCTATATAATCCTATAATCCAAGCTAAATGTTTTTTTCTAAAAACATCAAGGATTCAATAGTAAATTCCAAACACAGTAAATGTAATTAAGAAATTTATTTAGATTTAGGTTTATCTTCTCTTCCCTAAACCATCACTGCTCTTTTATTTGTTATAGTAGGCCTACTGTTTTTGTATGTAAAAGGCTTATTAAAAAATTTAAATTAGTAAATTTAAGAGACTTAATCAATTAAATTTGGTTAATAATGTAAAGACACCAGACTTGCATGCTATGAAAATATTGTTTCTTTGGATGGATCATCAAATATTCTGTTTGGTAGTTAAATTTTTATCATCAGCTCATTATGACAAGAAATTTATTTCCCACGGTTATACTTGAATAAATAATCATATAAAAACAGTTTACAATATGTATTGTTTTTTTTTATGTTTTTAAATACAACTAAGGAAAGTGTGAAGTACACTTTATGATGTTGATTAAATCATTGTTATTATATGTTAAATATTTATTCAAAGAAATATGTTAAGAGTCTATAAACTGTAAGTATTTCATATCTGTCAATATTTTGTAAATTCCTGTATATATTTTTGTATAAACAAATTAAGAGTCAGATAAGGAATAGAGTGCCTACAAATTGATGGATTCTCCTGTGAATTCTAAAACTATTGTTTATTATATTGACATTATGATGTAGTCAACATTGCGGCTCTTTAGTTTTGGAACATTTGATTATTTTCAAAGTTTGAATACCTTCCCAACCTCTCCTCCAATCACAATGATTTCTTGCTCAGCAGATAGTATTATTTTATAATAATATATTAGTTTCGTGGACAAATAGAGTTTTAAACCATGGTCACATGTTGTGACTATTTATTAGCATCATTGATTTTATCCTAGACAATTTATTGTATGACGATTAACTATAACTGAAATATGGTAGGTAAGCTATAAATGCAAAGCTATAAATATCAATTGATTAGTTACTTACCTGGCTCAGCTTTTGTTGAAAAAGTCCACCCACCAACGATTTTCCTGTCTTACAAGTTCTCAAAAATTCCCCTCTAAGGGCCACAAATTAGGCTGCTGCAGCGCATTCCAACTTCTTGTCACCGTTGCACATGTTAAAATTGCATCTACTCTCATGAACTACCAATCCTCAATGGCTCGGACTTTCTCTCCAAGCCCATCAGTGGCTCTTGAAATCTACAAGCCACCACGAGCTAAGAGAACAGGAAGGCTCCCAAATTCTTTGATCAGTTAATTAAAAAAAGGAGATCTGCGGTTTCACCCTACCACGCGTCGTGAGAATGAGGCTTAATATAAATTCATGTAAAGAACAAGTAGGTTTTGAATCATTATTGGGGGTTAAATAGGAAATATTAATTTTATTATAGGACTAAAACATTAGGTTTAGTTACCCATACTTCATTTGAAAAACAAATCTTTGTCAAATAATTTTAACACAAAAGTTTATACATATACATGTAGGCTACAGTATATCCTCGATAATAGATTCTCAAGGGGATTATTAGTAATAAGACTTGTTATTAACGTTGACCGATCTTATTGAGGTTTTCAAGAACATGTGATTATGGGTAAAATAAATTTGGGTGGCATTCCCGTTTCAAGAACAAAAATGATTAACTATGTTGGTATACCTTTATGTTTGCCAGGTTCTTAAATCTAAAATCTTCAAGAACCTGGCAAACATAACATAAGGTAAACCAACATAAAATAAATTCCAGTGGATTTGAAAATGACACTTGTTATCATAGGTGACTTTTTATCAACCTAATCCCCATTAATATCCCACCAGACCACCAACAACTTCTTATTTGACTAACACTGTAGTATGAATTCAAGACATTGCGTCTACTTTTTTCAAGTATAGAACAGTTTTACCGGTACCTACTTTAAAAATAAATACAACTGCTCAGTAACAATAACTTTGAGAAGTGTAAACAATAAGTAGCTTTTTATGTACCTATGCAATGTTTTACTATATCTGTTAAGGAATTTGACTAGATATAATATGCACACTGATTGGAAGCTTTTAACACCTCTATATTATATAAGATATAGTTGTTTGTACCATTAAAAATTCCCTCCAGCAAAATTACCAAAGTTCATCCATGCACATAAACCTACTTACACTGCTGCTATCTAGAGAAGAATTTATTTTTAAAATGCAATGTACCCTACTGGTTAAACATTAAATTACAATGTTTTCAACAAGTGGTAAATTCACACGTATTCAAACCTTTGTTTTCCTTTTATTCTATTTGCCTTTTTAGTGAATTTCCCATATAGGGAATATTTAGCGAATTTCCCATATACAGGGTGATTGATTTAAGTGTGCCAGCCGTTTTATTCGAAAACCATAAGAGATATCAAAAAAAGTTAAATGGTAAGTACATTGGACTTTTTATTTAAAAAATTGTAGTAAAGTCGAAAAAATTATTTTAGCCGCCATTTTTCCAATATGGCCACCAGCTTTGATTTTTCTTATGGAACACCCTGTATTTTATGATGCATTCTGGTAGAAAATGTAATTTTAAGACGATTTTATTCTTGTGATTTTTTTCATAAACCTAACCGTTTCAAAGATAATAATGGTTTAAGTTGTGAAATTTTGAATGGTTTTTTAATAAAACAGCTGGCAAGCTTGCTTAGGCCTTTATCGAAACTCTTTCTCATGCAGAAATTTCAAAACTTTAACCATTATTATCTTTGAAACGGTTAGGTTTATGAAAAAAATTACAAGAATAAAATCGTCTTAAAATTACATTTTCTACCAGAATACATCATAAAATGCAGGGTGTTCCTTAAGAAAAATCAAAGTTGGCGGCCATATTGGAAAAATGGCGGCTAAAATATTTTTTTTGACTTGACTACAATTTTCTAAATAAAAAATGCAAGGCACTTACCATTTATTTTTTTTATATCTCTTATAGTTTTCGAATAAAACGGCTGGCACACTTATATCAATCACCCTGTATAGGGAATAAGCTATTACCATAGTCCTCATGGTAAGAACTGGACCCGGGACCGATTTAATTTCTCGTTTTTAGGTCCCTAGAGGCCAAAAACACTATCCGTTCAAATTCATATACAGTATATATATATGTGTCCGTTAGCGCGATAACTCGTGCAAAAATGATCCGATTTTGATGAAATTTAATATAAACGTGTAAACCTACGTTTATTCAAACTAGTTCGTGAACCAGCATGATCGGACCATGGGAACAGGGGTTTATGGGGTAAAAATTGGATTTTCCCATTTTTGACCCTAAAAACAAAAAAAACTGCAATTTCTTTTCAAACCGTTTTGTAGAGCTTAAAAAAAGAAATAATTTAGTATATTGAAGCGCCGGTGAATGCCTAACGACCACGGAGAAAATTCAAAAATAGTGTAATTTAAAATTCCCATGTTATTCTTATGGAGATAGATAATTAAAACTGTTATAGTTTACTTGTTTATGGATATGTATTGATAAAATTTGGCAAATTTATTTATTCCATCCTATACTATGGACGTATGGTCACGTTTTTTTCCTTCGGCGGGGGTATTCTCTTTTTATTTACGTCCAACCATTAAAATTATCATTATTTAGACATTTTACAAAATAAAAGACAAAGAAAATAAATATGATGAACAAGATGTAATAGTTGGAAGTACATCAACATATACCACACACATCTTATTTTTACATCTTCTTTTACTCCATTATTGGTGATCAGCTAATTTGCATTTTAGCATTTTGGTCTATTCAGTTTAAGTTATTGGAAATTTGTGGTGAGTCAAAGTTGGTAGAGATAGCATTGGAATTATCAATTTAAGATATATAACCTTAGGCCTATATCAAATGATGATCGAAACAAGTGAAGCCACATATTTCTCTAATTCAAAACGGTTTTTGCTTCCTAAAACCAGGGATTGTTTTTCGAGCTAGAGTACAGCTTTGTAATATTATTTTCAAATTTAAATAATGTCTAAGAGTATGTTGGCTACATGCCTGTTAAGCAACAAAAAAATTTATCAATAATTTTAGCCTCTGGATTGATTATGTATAATTGATATGATGAGGTCTTACCTTAGCAATCCTTATGAGTAAACATTACAGTAAGACCTCATAATATCAATCAAATAAATTGAATCAAATGTTAGGTCTTTGGTATCCTATCAAATGGTTTTTGTAGAGAATAATTACCACTCAAATATAACCACCACATTGGGTGCAATATTTTTATATTCTCTAATGTCAATTTGAATATGCCTGCTACACACTTCTTTTTAATTTGATTAATTCTGTCAAATAAATTATCTTGAGAAAACAAAATATGCCTGTTTCATTCAATCCTACATGAAACTCCTGTAAATATTATATACTTGTTATATGTTCATATATCTTTCTTGTTTGAGCTAAAACGAAAAATGATTGGCAACATAAAATGGTAGTTTCCTCCTGGCATACAGATGACTACTTCATTTTAGCGAATTTCCCATATTGGGAATAAGCTATTATAGTCCAGGCAAATTAGATCAAATATAGGGTGTGCTCCCCAAAAAATCGTCTAAAGCTGGAAAGTGTTTTAATACCTTTTGGGGGTCCCAAATAAGACTCCTGTGAGTTTGCGACGGATTCTGACGTCTGCTTTTAAGTTTTGGGAGTCGAAAAACTATGAAAATTTTGCACTTTTTTCAGTTTTTCGCTTATAACTCCTAAATAACGAATCCTAAGGAAAATGTTGTTCAAGGTGTCTTTTAGTACATTAAATTCCGCGTCGATTGATGTTAAATACGTCAAAATCGGCCAAGCCGTTTAGTCGCTGTAGCTTTTCAAAGTTGGGATATTTTCATCAACATGGCCAAAAGGTTGATCAGTTTTCGGCTTAAAACTCCTAAACGACGCATGCTATACAAAAATGCACCTGTAGTTAGTTTGGAAAACACAACATTCTGCGTATAATATTTTTTTTTTAATAATCAATAACGGCAATTGATTGTTACCTCTTTTGTATGGACGCCATTTCATTGAAAAAAGTGTTAAAGTTGGAAAATTTTAATAAAATTGGTAACAACATAGATCCTGTCCTTAAATGGATTATGAATTATTAGATAGTGGTTTATTCCATGATGGTCATCCAGAGGTTTATCTAATAAGGTGTGATGAGAGTAAGACCCCCTATGTAATTTTAAGTCTAATATTGTTGTCTGAGGTTCCGAAAATTCTAGGATTCATCCCAACCACCCATTATATACGATCTATCCCTGTATTCATCTTTCAGTTTTTGGCTTACATCTTCTAACGCATGCTATAGAAAAAATGTTCCTGTAGTTAGTT